ATTGTCCTGTTCTGAGCTAAAAAGGAACTGACGTGATTTCCACAAAATGAAAAATTCTTTCTAGATGAAAGACCTCTTGTTTGATTTTCAAGATCTTTTTTTGCTATCTCCAGTAAAACAAGCATTCTTTATATCGCTACTTTTAAAATATCACTACCAAACAAGTAGAATAAAACTAAGAGAAATCAGGAGAGATTAGAAGAAAATGTTGAAAACAGCTTCTGAAATCAGGATCTATGTGGCAAGTCTAGTTATTAAATAATTATTGAATTTTTAATATTATTATTGAAGCATCTACCAATATTAAATATCTATTTAATAAATAAACAAACAATCACTTATGAAAAAACAAAACTCCTATCTATTTCAACTTATATATGATTACTTTTTGTGCTTGATTATAATAATGATGACAAAACTGGACAAATATAACTCTTCCATCTTTTGCACTAATTTCTGTTTCATTAGAAAATCGAGAGAAAACAAACAAAGAAATAGGGGGAAAGAATAAGGGAACAGTATCTGTACTAGTAAAACATTAAAGAAAGGTAGATGAAAGAAAAGTGGCTGTTTTTAATGACATATAAGCATGTGGTCACTTCTTATGTATGTTCTTAGTCAACAAGGTGATTGGGAACGTCGTTCAATATTAGCAATTTCCTTTTGGTACATTAAATAGATGATATCTTCAAATTAAATGTCTTATTTTTATATTTTCTTACTTAACATTTTTTGGAAAGAAAAAAAATAATTAAATAAATATTCCAATGAAATTCTATACCTGACAAAACTCGATAAATATATCAGTTCATTGCATAATAAACTCCGCAAAAATATATATCTATTTTATTAATACTTTTTCTAATTGTCTTTATAAAGTCATGGAAAACGAATATATGTCAGAAAATATGTCTTTTATTTTCGAAAACATCAAAATTTAACGAGGAAAATACAAAATCAATTATAGAGTACGTTTTCTTTTCTTTAAACTTCTCAACATTCACATCCAATCAAAATAAAGACGAATATATCGATAACAGTTTGACGAAAGATTTGAATAAATAAAAACAAAATAGACTATTGCTCAGTCAAAGAAGTTCTTTTACCAGTTGAACTATTTCTATAAGAGAGAAAAATAATGAGAAATTCATGAATACATCTACAATTATCTACTACTATGATGATGCATTAGATTCACAAGATTCTTTTGTACTTAGATTAGAACTGATTTTATCATCTGTCAAGTTGATATCTATACCAATCTAGAAGACGCTTCATTTAATTCTTTATATATGATATAATTTCATAGACATTGATTTTTTTCGGTAACTACAAACGATCTTCTATTTTATTGGTCAATATCAAAACATTCTTGAATGGTCCAACTTATTTAATAGATTAAACAATAAAACCTTTTACTTTTAAAAGAATTTCCAGTAAACAAAACAATTCTTTTCTTTCTTATATTTCTCAATTTTCATCATTCACTTGATGTCAAAAAATCACCAATACAACAAGATGTGAATCAATTATTCAGTTGATTCTTGAAATGAGTGATGCATTATTCAAGTGAAAAGAGCAAGCTATAAAATATGAAGTGACAATCCGATATCCTTCGTATAATTAAGAACATTCAATTTCATCTTATGATAGATTCTCATAAGTATAAACATGTCAATATCTCAAGTGTCCTTAGAATGAAAATCACATTTTGTAAAAAATTCAATCTTCTAAATTTTGGCGAGATTAATACGTTCAATGAATCAGTTTTTGTAATCAAACGATAAGTCTCCATTAAAAGAAACTCGAACTAATGAATTAACTTGTTTTTGGGTCCTTATATGAAGATAAATTATATGAAAAACTATCTTTTGATTCAATAATCATTTTTTTGACTCGAAAAATTTCTTTTTGTTTCAGGAAGTCGAAGGTAATAACTTTTATTTCTTTAGTATCATCTAATAGATTATATAATTTTCTGATAAGCCTATCTTCCGACAAAATTCTTTTTTTTAACGTTCTTACGAATAAATAGTAAGCATGCAAAATATCAACTGTTGAACTAGTTGGATGGGCATCAGTGTAGGTTGTTTGAGTCCAGTGTGGGAGTTAAAACTGTTTTTTGAAAAAGTTAAAAGTTGAGAAAATCGGAAAAAGTTAAAATGGTTATAACTAGAGTTATAACTATCAACCATGGTTATAACTTTCAACCATAGTTATAACCTTCAACCCGAGTTATAACCTTCAACCCGGGTTATAACCTTCAACCCGGGTTATAACCTTCAACCCGAGTTATAACCTTCAACCCGAGTTATAACTTTCAACCGTAGTTATAACTATCAACTGTAGTTATAACCGCAGTTATAACTACAGTTATAACTTTCAACCATAGTTATANCTAAAATAGAACTATATATTATAACAAAACTGGGAAAAGAGCCTGAGATCAGGTGAGGTAGGACGAAGCGGGTCGGGTTTATTAGGACAGATTTTTGCCCCATCGTCTTTTTGCAGTAGAACATTCAACATCCTTTAAGTCAGGATGCGAGCGTTTCTGTGAGTGTGAAAGTGTGGACGTAGGTATAGATGTGGGTGTCGATATGAGCATGAGGGTTCGCATCAGTGCTCTGTACACATCCAAGTGCAATCACATCTCAAGCGCTACACAGATTATTTGATGACATTGATATATAAAGAAAAGTTTGAGATCAAATCCAAGGAATAGTGAAGAAAAAATGATTCTACTTTATGGCATGAAAATTGTACATGAAAACCGTCAACTTGGTAAGAATTTTGTTGGAAGTCTGTCGACGTGCTCCCATTGAGATACAAATGTTAGATAATGGATGTATCATAGTGGCTGATGTTATATATTCTCATAGAAATCTATAAGTTAGAAACCAGTATGTGTGGATAATGTTCAAAGGCAATAATATGCACATCAATACCAATTATCTACCTGTCAAGTCTCACTTTTACATCTATCCAATACAACCGCATTATGATCACTCTCATCATGGAGAAAAGGTTGAACCCAGTGAAAAATATTCACTGATTTTAATCGGATTTTTCTGCAACAAAATCAAAATTAACATGGATTGATAATTTTGATTATTGTCGATCATGACTTAACTATTACTTGATATTGTGACTTATCCAGTGTGAAATTCTCTGATTAAAATCGGATTATTTTGCAACAAAACCGAAATTACTAATCGATTGGAAATCCTGATTTTGCTGCAGAGCAATCCAATTTTAATCAGAAAATTTCACACTGAATAAGTAATAACATTAAGTGATAGTCAAGTCATGATCAACGATAATCAAAATTATCAATCCATTTTAATTTTGATTTTGTTGCAGAAAAATTCGATCAAAATCAGTAAATATTTTTCACTGGGAAATCGCCAGGCAGTACCAAATTCGGTTTTATTCATAAAGGTAGACTACTCTTGGAGAAGAGTCGGCCAGATTCTGTTGACTATGCATAAGATACGACAACAAACAGTTTTACTATAGATCATGTCTTTATTATACTCACTTTTCTATTGAATAATTGTTGATGACGATTGTGTGTTACAACATGTATACGACTTCTACTGACTGGATTGACTGAAACATTCATATCCACTTTTGTGGGCTTGTTGACTGTCGTTTTAGGAAGAAGGAACAACAATATGAATTGTAAAAGTTTAAATAAACAATCTTTTAGTGTAACCAGCGCGTGAATTGGAATATTATTGTATATCCTGCGACTAATCGAACTGATTGACCAAATGAGGCGAGATGATAGCGATTGTTGTTAACTATTTGAATCGATACGTCGGTATCAGTTGCACACTGTATTACGTTTTTTTTTCAAATAGACGAAATTTGATTAATAACCAGCTTGCAACTTCAAGCGAAATTTTATACTGTTGCAGTTTCATAAGAAAGGCTTCTATTGTGAATAAGCTTTTCTCTCCGTAAATTAATTACATTTGAAGTTTGACGAGGTGTGATTATATTCACTGGTTGATTGAAATTCGTTTTTTCGCGCCTGCGTGGTGAAGAATACACCTTTTTCTCAATCAAAAACAAACTTTCGATCAGCCAGTGAATTCAATCCCATTCCAGTCGAAAATCAAACGCAATCTAAAACAAACAAAAAAGTTGTCTGCCAACCATCTGAGTAGTTCAAACTGAATTTTCATTTTCTCTGACTTTATTGAAAGGCTTCTGGAGTAAATAAGGACTGTTTATTAACAGTTAAATATGATCTTCGCGGGCGTTTAATTCGATTCACTGTAGAAGGGTCACTTTCTTCTTAGCTTAAAATAAGTTCAAATTATCATTAATATAAATGTAGAATACATTTACATTAATTTCTTTTATAATTTATATATTAAAATACATCAATTATCATAGCTCATTATTATGTCTTTTAAATATAAATCGAATTAAATTATTCTATTTCGTTTTGAGATTTCCACCTAGTCAGACGGACAAGAGAAGGGTGTGGGTGTGGGGTGTGAGTGTGGTTGTGGGATGCGGGGTGTAGATGTCGGTGGGTGTGAATTCACTGGCTGATCGAAAGTTTGTTTTTGATTGAGAAAAAGGTGTATTCTTCACCACGCAGGCGCGAAAAAACGAATTTCAATCAACCAGTGAATATAATCACACCTCGTCAAACTTCAAATGTAATTAATTTNGAAGAAAATGGTGGGTGTAAGTTTTCGGTGGGAGGTGGGCGGGTAGGGGTGGGTGTGGGTGGGTGTGGGGGGGGGTGGGGGTGGGGGGGGGTGGGGGTGTGGGTGTGGGTGGGTGTGGGTGTGTGGGTGTGGGTGTTGATAGCAGAAAAGCCATCCACGCCCACACCCACACCCTCTTATCACATCCACTTTTGTTAGAATTTTGTCTTGAGTAAGATAAGAAAGAAGAAGAAAAAGAATTACTTGTATGTCATTGTCTCTTTTGTTACATACATTCGTTCTATTTATCTGAGTTCTGTTGAATTACGAATGGATGGTGATATTACAGGAGCACTTAATTTCTTTAGTCACACAATCGATGGTTCTCCTCCATGGATGGATGGGAACCCTAAGTTGGGCTGGCTAAGCTCGAATTTTGCACAAACACCAGTACGAATTACCATTCACGATCTGCGAGGTAAAGAGAACATTATCGATCTTGACACTAATGGCTTTGAAATACTCAAATATGATGGTGATATACATGATGAATTCAATGATAATAGTGAAACCCAACAACATTATTATGAAGAAATTACTAACGTGTTGAAAAAGCGTTTAGATGCCTCTGGTGTAATCATCTACAATCACATAACACGTTATCGAGGACCACCACGTCCGGCCGATCAATGCGATTTGTCCCACAGGAATCCTGTCTTCTATCCACATGTAGATTATGATCCACCTGCTGCTCACTTTAAAATCAAACAAATGCTTGGCGAAGAAGTGGCTAACAGAGTAATGTAAAAGCGTTTTCAAATTATTAATGTTTGGCGTCCATTGGGTCCTAATCCTATAATGAATACTCCGTTAACCATTTGTGATTATCGTTCATTAGACCTTGACAATGATCTTCATGTATCAGAAATTCGCAATTCCCTAGTTACTATTGCACTTTACATTATCTCGCATAATAGCCAAGATGCTCAAAAGTGGTATTATTTAAGTAACATGCGATCGAATGAAATGTTTGTCTTCAAAATATTCGATAGCAAACCCGATGTTGCTCAGTTCGGTGCTCACACAGCGTTTATCAATGAGTCTGTGCTTTCGACGAACATCCAACAATGTAGTATTGAAGTCCGTTGTCTCGTCCTTTATGATTAATAAAAACAATAAACGTTGACTCATGTTAACTAGAAAGAGTAGTTTGAGTGATTTTTAGAAATAAATTCTTGTAATTTCAGTTGTACTTCAAATTTTTGTTAGCAGAAGAAAATAAATTTTATTCATATAAAGATTAATTTAGTACAACAAGATGTGCCTATTTCACATTGTTTTATCTTCAATTTCATTATGACTGATAATTTAAGGGTGAAATTTTTTCTGGATATAGTATAGATACTCACTAGTATACTTTTGACGCAAGTCACACCTCTATCGTAAGTAAAGACTTCAAATGACTTAAGATTTTGTGATCGAAACACAGCAAAAATTCCATACGTGGTGGCTGTTTCTTGTTCAGTTAGTTCGACTTTTTGAAACATTTCATTTTGTTTTATTCTGTGATAATATTCGATATAATGAAAATAGGATTTTATTTTTTCGTTCTTTATTAATGATGTACAGTAGAGATTGTGCATCAACAACTATTTATTCATGCAAGAAAATTGGAACACACACCGATATTTATTTTTTCATTTTTGTAGATGCAACTCATTATCTTTTTTTATTTTACTTCTTTCGTAAAAAACTCGCTCATACGATTGCTTATCTTTTCTTAATGAGTTTTTATCACATTTATGTAACGTATAAACAAGGTGGTGAAAAACAAATAAAACTTTATTCTTTGCATTATACAAGTGTATAACAAAGAAAATGGTTAACAATAATTCACATACACTTTTATTAGCTAACTGGAACATTTATATTCCATAATCTTATTCTTATTCTTCACACAATGGATGGAACATTAACGTAATATTCAGGTCAGCTGAAAATACACAGAAAACAATTGTCAGCATGTGAAAGTAGAAATGAATTGGGTTGTATTCTTCAGGTTAGTTCATAATCTTAAATCTATTCGACGCAAATAGGGGAACGACGTACTCTCGTACTCCTGGAATACGCCGTTTCCCTCTTATGTCGCGCTCAAAATATTGAACATCGAGGGAGTAGATGTCTGGCTGTAGGTGTCTATTATCTAACACCCATAACCTCAATATGATCAAAACTATAATGACATAATATAAAATAATTGTTGAGAAATGTTATTTTCAAAAAAGAAGAAAATTTCTTAAGAGATATCCAATTCAAATAAAATGATTTTAAACACTTTTTGATGTGTTTGTAAATTGATTATTTGATGTACGCTGATTACCTCAAAGAAAATATGAAATTGTTATTTCAAAGAGAGAATAGTTTATGTTAAATTTGTTACAGATAAAATGTGTCTAAAACTAACTGATATAAAATTGTTCTGTTTCTCAATAAGTTCAACTTTTTGGAATATATTCAGTAAATGGTGCTTCTATTTGTAAATGTCAATCTTATGTTAAATGAGATTGAACATGAAATGATCAGTTTGCGTGTCCGGTGAAAGAGTAATCGATTTGTAAAAATAAATTTTTTCTAAATCTTGACTATCCTTTAGCATGGGTGTGGGTGTGGATGCGACCATCTCGAAGAATGATGAAGATTCATGCCCACACCCCACACTCCCACATCCACACCCTATTGACATTTATTGTCTCGATTTTGATCGATCTGATTTCGTGTGCGAAATAAAAATTGATAAATCCTATTAAAGAATTTTTCATTTCAAATACAAATCGATTGAGAAAATGGAGGATTTTCGTTCTTTGTTTATTTACATATTCTCGAATGATCTCATGGTAGCTCGAAATCCCAGAGCACCAGCATTGATTGTTAGTATCTATAAACAAAAGTTGACTTCTTTCTGGTGACTGGTCTGTCCACCCAGTTTGAGTAAAGATAATGATCTTTAAGATCATTGTACTGCTTCTAACGGTCTTCTTTTCATACACATTTTCTATGTTCGCTCGTTTCAAATGTTTATTTCATCTTGAATAACAAAATTCTAGTTTACAAACAAGTACAAATCGAATCTTTGTTTTGTTCATCAGATACATCGAGTTCATCGATTTTCTTGGGTTCTTGGATTTGATCAAGAATAACTTTAGCTTCGGAATCACCATCGACCTCGCTCTGATCGATTGAAATCAAGAGAAGTCGAGCAGTTTCATCAAGATCGTCGTTGTTACGATCAAACTTTTGAATGATCTCATAAGCGTTCGCCCATTCATTCAATTTGCATCTTGTGAGTAGCATATACTTGGCGACGTCAAGCCGACTGTTAGCTCGGAATAATTTGATCTCATTAGCTTCATAGAGACCTTCATCAATCATCGAAGTTAACACGAATAATTTCTTCTTTTTGTTCGTTGATTGAGCCATTCTTTGTTTTTTTCTGTCTTTCTTATTGATGACCACAAGATTATATACTAGCACTAACAAAAGAATAAAATAGACAATGAACGTATTGTATTGACTAAGACCAAGAAATCGTTTGTCCAATAAGCGTTATCCAAATAGGGAGCGTAGATAGACTATTCAATCAGTCCACATTTGAGTGTTATCTCATTCTTTTTCTAAATTGATTTTCACATATAAAAAATTGCAAGTGTATCATTATCGACTCAGTCTCATTTTCAGATACTTTATTGTTGAGTAAATTAAGGAAAAAATATTCCTCTTTTATTCTTGGAGATCATAACATTTTTATTGAACGAGTTTTTACTTCAACGGACAAAAATCAGAGAACAGCTACGAAAAAAAAATCGATTTCGCTTCTCGCTTCCATTTATTTTTGAAATCGTGCACCTCTACCACTGGATCAACATTTATGAAGTATTCCATATACTAAAGATGCTTAATAATATATTAAACACAACTACAGTGAATATGCAACATCAATAAGAAACAATAATTTCAAATATATTAGAAATGATA